TACACTAGTAATAAAGTAATAAAAGCAAAAAGACTACAGCACCACAGGTTCCCAAGTTGTCTCCAACCTCAGTACTGATGTGGCTCGACGATGCTTAACTTCTCAAATCGGACGGGATGAGGTGCATTCATCGTGATATGGCCGTAGCCATTCAATATCTTAAATTGATAAATATTAATCAGTTAAAATCCTAACTTAGTGATATTGTTAAATAAAATTAGAATTAAGAACTAATCAAGTGATTAACGAAGTTGACAATGGACTGTCATTATTCAATATTTACCCATGTGAAAGAACATCCAAAAAAGTACTCCAGAAATGTAATAATCAAAGAATGGTCAATAGTGAATGCATTGAGGTTTGTTTTCATCGGCAAATTAAATATTTGTTGGAAAAAGACAAATGGAAAGGATTTGGGTGGGAAATTTGATTGGATCCAATTACAGAGATTCTAAAAGAATGTATTCAATTCTCACAGAATCATTTCCCAACTTGAAAGTTATTGAAAGCACTCATTTAGGTCTCTTTAATTTTTTACTAGAAAACATTAATTGCTGGCCGCAACTTGAATATCTAAATCTACAAACTGAGCCTAAACTTGAACTATTAGAAACACTAATTTCTCAAAGGCCAAAGCTTGCCATTGTATTAGAGGAAGGTAATGTGCCATTATCACCACAAGCATTCTACTATCAATGGTTGGTCACTGATTGTCCAAAAAGAGATGTCATTAATTTATGAAGTCAATCATGTTAATATTTACTTTCCAGATAATTGTGTAATGGTAAGAGTCCATTCTTCTTCGTGATAAATAGTTTCAATTTGATTATTCTCAACTGTATGAATATCAATAGTCATAATATCAAATGCTTTGGATTTATTATATGGAACTCCAAAGAAACTTCCAATTGGATTACTAGACGCGTGGTCTGACAATTACTCTATTCTTATCTTGAAGCATTTCTCTTGAATATTCAATTTTTTTGACAAAAATATTGAATTCAAAATTATTGTAAAAAACATACCTTCCATTTGAGATTTGGGATTAACTTCCAAAAGTATTAATTATCCATATCTTCTGTATTAGTTTAATAATGAGAGGAATATGGTGACAATCTTCATCTTGATTTTCTGTCTATGATTTTGCTAAGCATACTTGAGAATTATTATACGAAAGTCCAGAACAAGTATGAATACTACAATCATAGCCAAGAAAACCTTGCGAGCATGTGCAATTGTTTGGAGAAGAACAATTACCATTGCCTGAACAAACCATTGAATCATTCTTCAACTTGCCAAAACAATTAACAAAACTTTCACATTTATTTCCATACCATCATTACAAACACCATTATTATACGAAACACATTTACCATGATAGCTACAAGCATCGGTGGCATTCTTCTTGTAACAAATTGGTTGATCACAATTGTTTCCATTGTATTACTGGACCAGCAGGAAAAATATCCTGTCTCCAACAAACTAATCCATAAGAATCATAAATAATCAAATCCTAACTGAAATAAAATGTTAAAAGTGTTGCGTAATGTACTGTTTTGAGAGATTGGTCCAAAAAAAACACAAAAATCTGTTGTAATAAACAAGTCAATGTTAAAAAATATTTAAAAAAAATGTTGGTTGCACCTGAAGTAATTACACCAGACAACTCTGAATTGTTGTCCTTCCAAAGTCTTAAAATCTACCGTTCACAATACAATATTGCTTTAAAAGTTGTAGAAAAATGGTTGCAATCTTCTCTTGCTGGATATAAGGAAACAAAATTCAAATCCATTAACTTGTGTATAATAGGCCCAACATTTACTGCACTAAGAAACCAAACCTCTGACGACTTTGAATTATTTAAAGAGGCCATTGGACTATCAGCATTCACTAGTGTTATTGTTAACAGCGACAATGTTGGTAAAGAAAAAACTAATTCATTCATTGAAAGATTTGACAATGAAAATGAGTTACACCTTTTGGTTCATGATGAAGCACACTGGGGCATTGCTAAAAACAGTACCATCAATGATTTCTTAAAACAAATCAACGAGAAGAGGAAGAAAGTTTTACAAAAAGGAAAAAAACTTTATTTAGGAATATTGTTAGTCACTGCAACTGCAAATGTTCTCCTGTTTGGCAACTATGACTTTAGAATAGAAAATAATGTTGACTGGAATCATCTTAGGACAACCTCTCCAGAACGCTATGGAACTCCCAGTTATAGATCTATTGAAGAACTTGAGTTTAAACAAGACAAGATCATTGGTAATACTAATACCATGAAAGAAGCGTCCAATGCAGTTGTTAAAGAGTACGAGGAGGCAATTAACAAAATCAATGAAAGTAAGACAACTTCAGCTGAAATAATTAGAAATATTTACCTTTCTGAAGAGCCAGTTATGGGTGTAATTCGTTTGAAAAGCAAAGACCATGCTGATATGTTGTCTTCTTCTCTGATTAACTATTTAAAAAATAGATCCAAGAAGGTATATGTAGTGAAATTAACAGATAACACTCCTAATATTAGTAAACAATTAGAACAGCAAGGTTATGGTCCTAATTCAATGAATACTTTAATTGAACTTGATAAGCTTTCAGTTATATTGGTATTAGTAGATAGAGTAAGAA